AACTGGTATCGATCAATATCAATGCCAACATTATTATAGATATTATCGATACTTGGATCGATCCGCCCACCACTACTGCATAATAATGTAATGTAACATAACTTTGGCCGTTACAACTGCCGATGGAGTTCTCTTCGATATAGTTATCTACGATAACTTAATTATTGCGCCCCCCAACTAATAGGTTTTTATGTCAGTAATTCGCTAGCTGCATTAATTATCACCAAACTTATCTTGCTAACGTAAGATGCCTGCGGGCAACTACAAGGTTTACACACCAAAGGTTTAAATCAGCGTGATAAATTTATGATAACGACAGTCGGTTATAAAAGCTGCTGGCAACAGGTATAATAAGGGCACCAGCAACTGACTCATGACTTGATGTAATTTGTATAAATAGTGCATTATAACTATTAATTATGTAAGAAAACAAATGTTTAGCACGATATTATACACTGATGTTCATAAACAGGACGCGGTTTCATCTTAATTCACAGTCTTTTCTTTAATTAATTAGGCATATCATACTTTCAAAGTGCTATTAAGGTCCCTTCTGGTGTCATCGCCGACATCACGGACCTGTCAGTCCCAAAGTCGACTACTATCCCATCCCAACTACCTAGCTGGCCAGCTTGCAGCTTGTAGTTGCCCGCAGCATGTGGTTCCTCCTAAACAAATACACAAACAAAAGAAAGAAATCAATTCACATTAAACAATCTTATTTAAATTAACTAATCGGGGGAAGACATCGCAATCCCCCGAAAACACACAAACAAAAACCCACAACATAAACTAATAACCCCACTTCTAGCAGGAACCACAAAACTTTCCCGTGGCGCCTAGAGTCCACGCCGCTGCCACCGAACGCCGACTTGCGCCACTAACTTCCTAACCCGGTACCCCCAGCCAGTACTCGCCTTATATCACAACAATGCGGTAATCCCCCCGAGATACACTCCTTCGCATATGACAGCTGCAGCGTGGATTCTAAGCACCACCGAGCATAGGGAGGCCTCCCTGCTCTTGTGTCGCTGGTATTTTATAGCATCCATACTTCCGCCCAGTGTTGCCAACTACTTTCAATGGAAAGTATAGCTTCTGCTCGAAAAGTCGCCAAATGTCGCTAGATGACGTCATGCGTATATTTGCATATTGATGACGTAATTACGTCGTATTTGCATTCTGCGTGTTTTCCCTAATCCTTCCTCACGTGTCAGAAACTGGAATGAACTTAAGCTCTGTAACAGTGAGTAATATAAGTGCATCAGAAGAAAAAATAAATAAATAAGAAAAAATAAGAAGAAACGGTCAAATTAAATAGTTTAGTTGATTGGTCCGTGGCAACACCGTTTGCACATGCGCAGCTCATTCACATCTATGTCAGCTGCCGTGCGGTCACGGGAATATGTTGCTCCTTTCAGCCGGAGCAAGCGCTCACTGATCAGAGCAGACACAGGGAGATGAGTAACTGTACCGGGAAAGCAAGACCTCGCGCTTACAGGACAGTACTGGCGACATTTGGAAAGTTGCTAAGGTTTGTCCAAAAGTCGCTAGATTTGTCGCTAGGCGCTTTTTTTGAAAAAAAAAAGTCGTCAAGGGGGTCTGAAAAGTCGCTAAATCTAGCGACTGCTTCCGCCTCACAGATGTTTCCTATGAACCCTTTCCTGTTACCATGAAAATCCCCGCCTACAATTCTCTCCCTAACACACAGTTAAGAACAGTTGCATGTATAGCCATCTGACATTGCAATGTCTTCACCCACAGTGGGACATCTCTCAATAGATCCCCACACAGATGCACTCATATTTAAAATACTCTCACATAAACAGGATGTCAAATAAACATTATCGATGATAACAAGAAACATTTAACGATGTCCAGTATATAAAATAGCTATGTAAATCGTACCATACCCTATAATATTACAAGTAATATTACTATATTAAATAATATTATTATAATAATATTACTACTTCCAGAGGCAAACAAACCCTTTTTATACAAGATCCAATGTGATGCGTAGTTTTCCCTACCAACAAGCGACCTTTGACTTAAATGCGAGTATCCGACGTTTTGACGAGCAACGCTTTTCAACACCGCGACGGTCCGAAGTTTGCGCGAATAAAACGCTGTTTCGTAATGGAACGCGATCCGATTGCGACCATCCGCCGTTTATGCGACGTATTGCCTACGATCTGTGCTGATATGGAATCAGATTTGTGCCAATAAAACTTTTTTGACATCAAGCAAAAACAAGGTTTCGAGAAGAAAAAAAACTAACTGAAGCAAAAGAAATGTTATCTTAAAAGTAAAATTTATAACTTGCAAACAAGATTGGTCTTTTGATAATGTTTTCCTTTGTTTACGCTGCCTGACTTTGCGGTTACGCTGCCAGCTTTTTCGCTTGCGCTGTTTGACTTTGCGGTTACGCTGCCAGCTTTTTCGCTTGCGCTGTTTGACTTTGCGGTTACGTTGCCAGCTTTCTCGCTTGCGCTCCCTGACTTTTTGCTTACAATTCTGACACAAACCTCTCGCGTGGGCGGCTTTTTTCATGGACGCGTCCCCATTGGCTAATAAGTTTTTGACTGACAGGTCAATGCCACTGACATTTTTAATTAACAGCGGGACTGGATTGATATTCACTACCCACTAACTAATTTTTACTGGATCCGACAACAAGATTAACAAAGTGTAAATGGTAATGTTGTTTGTGCTGCACTATACATTTTATTGTGCTAAATTAGAAGTAAAGTTAAGCTTTGCTATGTATTTTAGCTTTTACCTATTTAACGGTTGCATGCGTTACTGGGTCAAGAAAACTCCTACAAACAAGAGCACGTACATGTCTGGGTTTTGTTTACACTGATTGTGTAAGCTGCAACCTTTTATTTTGTGATGTGAGAGAGTTTTCACTGAGGAAATAGGATAAAAATACATTTCGATCTTCAGTTCATGAATAACTGCAAATTGGGGTAAGCAGTGACTTTGTAAATTACAAATGTCACTTGTTTTCTAATTTTGATTGCTACTGTAAGAACGTGTCTTTATAAACATATGCAAACTGTCGGTAGACTGTTGGTCTTTTAACATTTTTCACTACCTTTATGAAAAATTTTTTGGAAGACTGTATACAAAGCAGTCGTTTTAATTATTATGTTTCACAAAATACATGTCGTAAAATAGCTTAAAATAGTATAGATTGTATTTACTGAAAAGAAGATGTAAAATATTAACTTTTTCACGAAAACACGTATAATTCACATAAATGATGCAACTTACGTGTTGAAAAATGTGAAGTTGCAACACAAAATAAACGAAAATAAAAGCAGAGCCACGGTATGTTTCCCAAAAGCATAGTTGCTCATTATGTTAGCGGCTTACATATTTGCTAAAGGGAGCTTTTGGAAAATGTGCCCCTCAATGGGTTGTATTATACTGGGGAATGAGTAGTAACGGCAGGAAGAAAAAACCCAAATCTAAGTTTCTTTTGTATACCTTTGGTTCGTAAAACACATTTCAGTCATTTCAAATATAAGTTTGTCATTTATTTTTTCCTATCAAGGCCACAATAAAAATGTTGCCACCAGCAACAGTGCCCGAGAATGTATTCAGAAGTACTTTCCCCATCGAAAGTGCTTCGTCTTCGATACGCCTGTCCACAGGGACAAGCTGAAGATTATTGATCAGCTGAGTGATTCTGACCTGGAAGAAAGGTTTGTTAAGCAAGCTACAGAGTTCTGCAGTTATGTTCTTGGAAATTCCCTGGTGAAAACCATCAAAGGAGGAATTAAAGTCACTGGGAGATGTAAGTTCAAAGTGCTCACAAAAATAACTGTTGAAGTATTTATGCAAAGTTAGGCTAATTGGTGTGTTTAGTTGAGTTAATAGTATATAATTGTTAATGTACTCTGTGATGGTCTAGCATCCTGCCTGTGCTGGCTGGGATAGGTTTCAGGTCCCTGGAACATTCATAAGCAGCATGTAAATATACCTTAACATCCTAACATACCTTAACAACTTTATTATACGTCAATAACAAACATTATAATTGCATAATCATACTTACATGCTGCTTATGAATATTCTATGAATGCATTATGAAGGTGAACTGAATGTTCTGCGAATGCATTATAGAAACATTATGAAAGTGCAGTTAATGTAAAATGTAACTGTATGGATCATGTATGAACTACAGTCTGTTACACCACTACACACAATCCTGCCCAGGATAAGTGGCCTGTTTTACACCTCTCACAAAATGTCATCTCTTTTGGTTCTCTCCTTTTCATGGTGCGGTGTGTCTCAGTGCTGGCTAAGCTGGTGATGATGTATGTGGATACCATTAAAAGTGGGAAGGTTCCTTGCCTGGAGAATGCCGTGGTAGCTCTAGCTCAGACGGAAAACTCAAAAGCAGTAGAGGAGGCACACAGCCTCTACAAGCAGCTGCTGAGCGAGTGGACAGTGTTACACACTGAGACACAGGAGGAGCTTTCGAATGTCCATGAAATCTGCCTGAAGGAGGCACTAGAGCTCTTCCTTGATCGCTCATTCAAAGATGATGATCAGCGCTTCCAAACACAGCTCATGGTTTGTAGGCACCTTGAATATACTTCATTCACTTGTTTCACTTAAGCTTAGGATAAATAAAGCTGATGTTTAAGGAATGGAAGCATTGAATTTGTTATTTTTACTATTATTGATATTAGAAACACTTTACTGAGCCTTCAAACATGTGAATATCAAAAGGTTTTCTGTATGTGGCTTTGAATACTTGAAAGCATCAAAAGTTCTTTTTGTGGATTTTTGTTTCTTGTGTCAACAGGATCTTGTAAGAAATGAGTATGATAAGAAGTGTCAGGAGAATGAGGAGCTCTCCCTGAATTACTGTACTGCTCTGCTTAGCCAACTGGGGGCTACTTTGAAGCTAGATTATTATCTGACACCAGGCGGTTATCAATACTTCCAGAAAGACCTGGAAGCTTTAATTTTCCAGTACAGAAATACAAAAGGCAGAGGCATCAAGGTACAATAATTATGCAATTTCTCCCCAATAAAGTAAACCTATCAACCGTAAATCTCCAACAAAGTACAGTTAAGAAATCTATTAAGGTACATGCATTACCGGCTATCTTAATACAGGGAGGGGTGACTGAGGCTGGGGATCTGTGCAGCAGTCAGAAGGTGGCTGGTTCAAATCCTGAGAATGCCAGCACTGATTCTATTCCATTGGGCTCTTGAGCAAAGCCCTTAACCTGCAATTGCTTTGCCCAGGGTACAATGTTAACCAACATCCAGCCCTGCAAGCAGGTCCTCCAACTTACAGGACAAATTTGGGGGTTGGTGGCAGGATTGGCACTCTAGCCACCAGAAAAACTTCTCTTCCATTCCATTTGAACTAGTGTGGTGCTGCATGGCCGATTGTCATGTGGTGGGTGCAGCAATGTGTTGTATCAGTGCACACTCCTTACTTCCTCTTATTACACCTGTTTTTTTGGGACAAAAATGTGTGTTAATTATGTCACTTGTTTACTGGAAAGCATTTGCATTATAGTTGGAATTTATACTAATATTAGGATTAGGGGTATGGAGATATTTAGAAAAATATACATTTCTGTTAATGTTGGTGTAAGGGTGCATTATTAATAAATGTAACCCAACTAAAATGTTTAGCATTTAGAAAATGCGCATTTTTTAATGATAGCTTCACTTGTGCAAGTAGATCCTGTGTGAACATCATCAGTCCATAACAAGGTTAGTTTTTCAGGCAGAACAGGCTTTGGAAGAATACCTGGCTAAAACCAATGAACTGGGCAGAACGTTACTGCTGGCAGACAGAAGTCTCTCTGAACAACAAAAGCTTATTGAAGGTGAGAGAGGCATCAAACAGCTCTGGATGTTACCAACCCAACGGGGAACATACTTTGGTGGTTGGCGTCTTTCGTAAACATCGTTCACACTTTTGACAGTACTCTTTATACATCCCTGGCCAAAAAAATCGTGGGCTGTGAAGTTGGTGATAATTTATAGTAAATTTTGTTTGCCGGCTGTCATAACACATAGAGATTATATAAAAGGATTAACGCCCAGTCTGTTACAGTCTGATATGCTATCATTTACTTCATTCAGGATACTGACTGTTTATGTATTTTGATGTACTTCAAGTATAGTTTTTATATTATGTTTGTCTTTTAATGCACCATATGATAGACATGGTATGAAATGTATATGTGATATATTTCTAATATTTTAGCTATTCAGAGGAAACATGGGCTATATAAAAAATGATGATGCTGAATAATGCTTAAAGCATCTGTAGGTGCATGTAAAACTAGACTGCGGTGCCATGACAATCGTTCTCCATTCTAGAGCAACAAGCCTATGCTAAGATGCAGGAGGTGAACGCAAAGGCTGCAGAATTAAAGATGGCAGCTATGGAGAGGAGAATTGAGGATGTGAAGAGAGCACAAGAAGAAAATATGAGGCAGCTGAAGAAAAAAATTGAGAGAGAACATCAGCGAGTTCTTCAGCAGAAGCTGAGGGTACCTTCCAGTTATAATTCTGACTTTGTATCCTATTACCCCATTAAGAAATACTCAGGATGTGAGACCAGTGAAGAAAGGTTGCATTTATGTTGTTGATCTTTAATGTTAGACCGTGACCAACCATGTCACCCCTTTGTTGCATTTCAGGAGCAGAATGCCATGCTGCAGCAGGGCTTTGACGCAAATGCGAGACAAATGCAGGGAGAGATTGACCAGCTGCGACGTGAGATGAGCCAAGTGCAAATCAGAAGCAGAGGCGGGGGGGGGTGTACTATCTCCTAATGAAAGGTTGTATGAAATAAATAAATGAAATAAAAGGCCAAGGTATGAAGCAATCAAGGTTAATTTTTCAAAGAATGATTTTGGAGAACAGATTATAAAATAGAAAAGAATAGAATAGAATGTACATGTTCACTGAACTTTATCTTTGTTTCAGTGGAAGTATATCAGCATAGTGTAATACCCATAATTCATTAGATTTATGAATTAATTAATTAGATTAATTAATGAATTACAGAGAGATATATTTGCACACGGAAAAGAAGCTGATCACAGGTATAAATGACTGCCCATGAGTAAAAATAATATGCAATGCAGTCTAAGTATATGGGCAGTGAAACATAATTTTTTTTTTTATTATTTTGTCTCTGTAGACCGTCACAATGGATTTGAAATGAAACAATGAATATTTTCTTAAAATGCAGACTGTCAGCTTTAATTTACAGTCATGCACAGCTATATTGGGGGACATGCTGGTATTATAACCGTTTGTTTAATGAGATGGGCTGCAGGGTGGCCACTGGTTAACCCAGGATGTACAGTGAAGCACATAGATTTCTGATTTACAACAGAAGATGCCAAATGGGAAGCCCAGTGGAGGATTACCGGCATCTCATGACTTGGTATTTGCAGATAGACAGAACCTGATGAAAGATAAAGAGTGGAACTGACCTCTGAATTTGCATTTGCATGCTGAGCTCCAATATATGGGAGAAGATGAAAGATATGTGAAGTAAAAACTGCATATTTTGCCATCAAACCACCCATTTGATCATAATACTTATTGAATATTGAAAATTTGTTTGTGTTCTTAAACATATATCAATATACATATATGGATTGACATAACTGGTATGCAAATATGTATTTGTGGTATAAAGCAGAGGTAGGCAGCCCTGATCCTGCAGTGCCGGTATCCAGCATGTTTTCTGTCCTACCTGATGAGTTACTATCTGCCTGAGATCAGAAGTGGTTCCTCAGAACCAGGTAGGATGGAAAACCTGCTGGGTACCAGCACTCCAGGATCAGGGTTGCCCACCCCTAGTATCAAGGTTAAAATGCACAGTTATTTGTTGACTCAATAAACAGACTGTTTTCAAAATAACTTTCTTTACTGTAGCTCACTTACTGCAATTGCCATATGAATTCTCCACTGACTAACCATCGCCACACTGCACATGCGCAGTCTGTAATAAGCACTGCAGTAATAAAACAAGTGAACACACATTTGAACAAATTAATGTGAACATAAATATTCTACAATATATATGTCTACATATTCATATTTAAACATAAAGATGACAAAAATCTCCTGAGATTTTTTTTTTTTTTGGGATTCCACTCTTCCAGGGGTTAAGCATGTTTCTTCCATCATTAAGCATGTTTAGGAAGAGCAGAGCAGATGCCTATTTGATTAAACAATTTGCAAGCTCTCTTGGTAGATGACTGTGTCACACACTGGCTATTTTCACTGTTCCTTGATATTGCTCATCTCCAGCCGCAGTCTCATTCCATCCATGTCACCTGTGATAAGCTCAGAATACAGTGTAGAAAGGAATATTGCATTATCAATTCCATCAGTCAATGCAAGAGATTCTCCAGCAAGGCTACTGCAAACAACTCTGCTAACGCAGAGGGGGGAACTTTCCATCTTAGCCCATGAGCATAATGGGGTGCCCATCTTCTGTGCTTCCATTGGTAAGTTACCCAGTAATGCATCACTGAATAGAACAAGCTTCAGTTTATCTGGTTTTCCCAAAAACTGGAACTTCAGCTACACATAGTCAGCTAAAATTATGACATAATTAAAAACTAAGATGAAGCTCAGTAACAGATTGAACATAACATTAAGTCGACACTGTTTTGCTAACCAGACAAGTTGACCAACCTTAGATCTAAACTGGTCTACTTCAGATTTGGCAAGGACAAAATCACACTGTCAAGCTTGAGTTATATCAATGTGAATGGAAGATAGTCTTAGCATATTTTTCTAGTTTAAGTACTTCCATTCTCTGTCAATATACCAAACAATCTGTCCTTCCATACGACTTACATCTTGTTCGCGTCGTTGCTTGAGCATCTGAAGAATTCTGTACCTCACTTGTTCCGTCAGTGATGTCCATATCATAGGTTTTCGTTTTCACTGTCTGATGTGGAAAGAATGTGCACTGATGTCGTCACTCTCTAGTCCCCTCAAGTGCAGGTGGACTGTCACCTATGAATAGAAGTGTTTGTGGGAAATTGATTTATTTTGAACTATTTTTTCTTTACAAATATTGCAATATGTATTGCTGAAAATGATATTTTCCAGTGTTGTGCACCCTAATTATGAAATGCTAACTACTACGAGATATCTAACAACATACAATGCAACATTCAACATGGGGTAGTAAAGTGATATGTGGCAGAGCAAAGTACCATGTGGAGCAGTTGTTAGACAGAGGCCTCTTTCTCCAATAAGAGTTGTGGAGGCAGTTTGTGTGTTTACATAAACAAAGCCTGGTGTACAAACTCTGTTGAAGTAATTCACCACTATTCACTGCAGTTAGAGTTTCTAATCATAAAATGTTGTCCATTCTACCTGCTGGAAGAATTCAACGCAGTGGTAGTTGTATATTTCCCACCTAGCTCCAATGCAACCAGCCACTAGGCAAGCTGTACGAAGCTATCAGCAAGCTACAAATGGCGCACCTGAATGGATTTTTCGTTGTTGCTGGCGACTTTAATCATGCTAATATGAAGTTGGTTCTACCTAAATTATATCAGCATGTGAACTTTGCCATAAGAGGGGAGAACTGTCTGGACAAAGTCTACACAAATGTGCATGAATTTGTGATGTTCAAGTCCAGCCATGTTCAGGATTGTCAACGCTCACGCATCTGGCGTGCATCAGGCATGTCTGTACCAATACCTAAACAGCGTCAGGTCTATCTGTTTATTTTAAACAATTATTAAATAGTATGGTATACAATTGTCATTTATTTGACCTCCATCTGTAAGTTGCACCCTATTTAGCAGCATTTCAATTGTGTACACGTGTTAACTTTATTAAGAATATAATTTCATATCGCGATCAGGAAGCATTTTTTTTTTTTTTTTTATTGAAGATTTGCTCAGAAATACAAATGCAACAAAACATACATTAAGGCAAAGATCCAGGGGTTCAAGGATAGCCAAACAGTATACAGCAATAAATAAATCACATAACTAACATAAACTTTCCTCACAACATAAATAATCAAATACAAATTATAGAAAAACATCAAAACGTGAGCATACATTTAAGGTTTTAATTGCCTTTTTGTTATAGGAGGTAGACAAAGATTTAATATAGATTTTAATATCTTCTTGAAAATAAGAAAAGTTCGGGGTAACTTTCATAACTTTACATTTGTCAGGAAGCATTTCCCCTTGTGACAGACCATGCGCGTGACGTCAGAGGCAGAACGTGTAAGTAGCTGAGACTGCACTTACTGCAGTCAGACCCTCTTGGCTAAACTAGCTTTCTGGAATTCCCCCTGGTTTGGGTAAAAAATGACGCTTGCTGAGTAAGACATGTTAGAGTTGGAAGGTGCAAGAGGAAAGCTTTGTATATCAACGTAATAACTTTATGAAGTACAGCGCCGTCTACCAATGACTTGACTGGAAGTGTGTGCTGCAGCCAATCACACGCTGTGAGGAGGAGTCAGTCACAGGTACAAACTGAAAGTAAGGAAGGGAGGAAAGAGTAAGAGACTGTTTAACCTTCGTCTTGAGGTAAGAGGAGAAAGAATTTTTGTCGTATTGTTTTTATCCCCAAAAGGGTAACGTGTGTCGTAACTGTAAAGATATATATATATATAAAATGGCTAACGGGATGAAATCCTTGACCAGACGGCCATTTTGGCCGAGATTACTGCAGGAAACTTGAATAGGCTTTTCGTTCTAATTTTCTTCTATGTTAATAGTTGGTAACACGGGCATCTAGCTCACTGGCCGAGTCTAGTTGGATATACTATACGTGTCATTTAAAACAAAATAATTGTAGTTCTCGTCTATTCCGTGGAATAGATACGAACTTTTGTAGCCTTTGACTTTCCATCATTCAAACATTGTCTCAAACATTATCTTTACTGTACCGGTTGAAAATAAGGCATTTTCTGCCATATCATGTTAAGATACTGTCCTAGATTAGGCCTAGATTAAATAATAATAATAATAATAATAATAATAATAATAATAATTTATTATGGTTGCAGTTAGGGGCGTTGCTAGAGATTTTGTGCCCCATGAAGGCATATCATATTGGGCCCCCCAGTCCAGACCAATCCAATTATTTTCCAAATTTTCTAGGCCCCATGTCACTCAGAGGCCCTTGCAATCGTCCTAACTTGCCCCCGCCTTGTGGTACCCCTGGTTGCAGTAACCAGTTTAATCAGTTTAATGTCTTTGTCGTGAAATGTGACTGTATCTTATATCAGATGTGATTGGTGTTTTTACACACACACAGGTTTGTAATTATATCTTTGTGGGGACTCTCCACTCATTTCTATGGGGAAATGTCTAATCCCAACATAACAACCTTAACCCCTACCCAGCCATAGGCATAAGTAACCAAACAAAATACAAAACTTTTGGAATCTTTAGATTTGTGGTTGCATTCACACATCTTTGTGGGGACCTGAAAAATGGTCTCCACAATGTCAAAATAACATGTCTTTCCTACATTGTGGGGAACATTTGGTCACCACAATGTAATATAATCATAATACATACATACATACGTGTGTGTGTGTGTGTGTGTNTAACATGTCTTTCCTACATTGTGGGGAACATTTGGTCACCACAATGTAATATAATCATAATACATACATACATACGTGTGTGTGTGTGAGAGAGAGAGAGAATATGTTTCAATACAGCTAATAAAGAGTTCAAAAAGGAAGTTGCTGTTTTGACCTGAGGGCTTTCACCAGGCACGGCTGCACCTTAGGTATTTGTCATACTCAGGATGTTTATCAGCACCAACTTGTTCACCAACTTATTTACCAAAAAGATAAAAAAAAGATGTAATAAATTACTTCAAATTGTATTACATCAATATCAGTAGGAGTATTAAGATTAAGGAAAAATAGCTGTTTTCTTTTCATTTACACTGTATAGTGTACATATGACGGCCCTTGGTTGTACGTTATAGTGTAACTTTAGGTTGTGCTTAGAAGCAACTATGACTATTAGATTTTAATTCCTGTCATTGTATTTTTCTGTCTAATTTAAAAGTGTTTTAATGTTCTTTAGTATACCAGGTCATAATGTAGTGATATGTCTAATGTGTCCCTCTGAAACCAAGGAGAGATTTAAATTGTGCCTGTAGTACCTTGAAATAGAGCTGTTACCTGAATTCCTGATTTTTTTTGATGTTTGACAAATGCTTGTGTGAGGAAATGAGCCAGGCCTCGTCTGCCCTTTCAGGAATGTCCTTGTTTCTGCACTGCTAACCTCCAGAATGTAGGCTTGCATTCATTTATTTCCTGCTGGCATCTATCCAAGTTTGTATCATTTATAATGATTTAAAAATACTATTTTTTCATCAGCTTCACCTTCCCCCTATATGACATGACCAGCTAAAACGTGCATGGGTCTAATTCATTGATGTTGATTGCCTGGGAACACATTTTCATTATTGAACAGAAGTATAGCTATTGTTTCCATCGATCACATTACAGGATCTACAGTTTTTAACCTGTCGGCATGCTTTGAAATGAACTGTACAAGTTGAGTGTATGTGTATAGGTTATCTCAGTTGTATGAGTCTTTGGCTCAGTTCCTTAAGCAGATGTACTGAAGTCTAAGGCTTTTTTCCTGGTAAGTTAGTTAAGTAAATTTTATTTATAAAGCACACTTCAAGAACAGTTATGTTCACCAAAGTGCTGCACAATTCAAACCATAAAAACCTAGATAGATAAGTAAGGTATAAAACTAGTCCTAAATGAGAGATAAAACACCCCAAAGGGAAAACATTTACACTCCAGAGGAACTAAATAAATTGCCATTATCAGTTGTACTCACTCAAAGGCCTGAGTGAAAGTTTTAAGCCTTTTTTTATAGACTGAGATACATGAAGAAAACCTGTTATTAGTGGCAAGGAGTTCCATAGTCTGGGTGCAATAGCTGTAAAAACCCTGTCACCCTTTTTATTTCAGTTGGGTTTGTGGGACAACCAAAAAGAATTTACTGGAGGACCTGAGGGGTCTGAAAGTAGACTGGAAGTGGAGGCAATGTATGAAGGGGGCTGTCCAGTTAGTGCTTCAAAGCAATCAAATTTTGCTCAACAGTTATTCCTGGTGATGATTTACTTTAAAAGTTAGTGTCAAAATTATTTATGTGCGCAAGTGTCAATTTGCACTCGCAGGTTGGTATTTGCAAGAGGACTTAGATTTGTAATACAGGTTTTGTACTTGAAAACCATTCTTTCTTTGTAAAAAATATTTTATGAAGATGTTTGGTTCCGCATTTACAAAAAATATTGGTGTATTTGCAAAATGTTTTTCACGTTCATTCACAAATCTTCATATACAAGTACAGATCATGACGTGTATTTATGGGCTGATATTTGTGCCACTAGAAATTGGATATGAATTTTGTATATTTAAATCTGCAGTTGTTGCATTACAAAACTGAATCTGAATTTATTAGTTTAAATCTGAATTCCAGTAACTTGAAACTGCATTTATCATACCTGGAAAATTTTCAGTTCGCAAATTCAATTTCAACTTATTGAGATGCACATTCGGGTCCTTGAGTTCTGCAGGTCGGGGCAAAGTGGAGGCGTGTGCCGGGGTGTCGCAAGCACATTACCTTATGATGTACAGTATATGAGAATAAGCTTTATATACACAAGCGATAGCATAAACATTAACCATACGTCTCATTAGTATAGTAGTATACAGTGGTACCTCGGTTGTCGAACTTAATCCGTTCCGGACTCCGGATCGAATCCTAAAAAGTTCAAGTTCTGATCGAATTTTTCCCATAAGAAATAATGGCAAAAACCATTTAATTGGTTCCCGGCCCCTCAAAATTACACCTAAATG